GCACGATCGGTGACATGAGATATTCCTTCAGCTCATCAAAAGCCGCTCGACACTCTTCGTCCCAGACGAATCCATTAACCTTCCGCAATACCTTGAAGAAAGGTAAAGCGCGCTCGGCTAGCTTGGAGAGGAACCGGCTGAGGGCTGCCAACCGACCGGTCAATTGCTGGACTTCCCGAACGGTGGAAGGTGGCTGCATATCCAGAATCGCTTTTACTTTGGCCGGGTTGGGCTCAATTCCTCTTTTGGTCATCATATAGCCGAGGAACTTGCCAGTCTGAACCGCGAATGTGCACTTGGTCGGGTTCAGCCGCAACTGGTACTTCCTCATGATCTGGAAGCACTCCCGGAGGTCCCGAGTGTGGTCGGATCGGTCCCGACTCTTGACCAGCATGTCATCGATGTAAGCTTCCATCGTTCGGCCCAATAGATCGGCAAAGAACATGTTGACCATCCTCTGGTAGGTCGCTCCTGCGTTCCGCAGGCCGAACGGCATCACTCGGTAACAGTACAGCCCATCCGGGGTCACGAAGGCTGTCTTGCTCTCGTCTTCATGGTGCATCATGATCTGATGGTACCCCTTAAAGGCATCCATGAAGCTCATTAACTCGGCCCCGGCCGTCTCGTCGACCATCTGGTGAATGCTCGGTAGAGGATACGGGTCGAGCGGACAGGCCTTGTTGAGGTCCGTGAAGTCGATGCACATCCTCCATGCTGGGGGCTTAGGAACAAGAACGATATTTGCCACCCACTCGGGATAGACCACCGGACGGATGTGCTCGATCGCCGCCATCTTTTTGACTTCTTCTCTAACAAACTCGCGGCGATCGGAGGAAAGGTGGCGTGTCTTCTGCACGACCGGCTTTGCTGCGGGATCGACGGCTAGCTTATGACAGATGACCGAACGATCAATCCCGGGCATATCTTCGGGCCCCCATGCGAAGATATCAGCATACTCCCGGAGCACGGCCAGAACTTCCTCTCGGATCTCGGGGGTGAGGGCTCGACCAATCTTTATCTTCCTGTCCGGGCGGTCCTCGGACAGGGGAACTTCTTCAATTTCTTCGGAAGGCTCAGGCTGTTCCTTCCGATCCTTAGCCTCCTCTTTGGCTATGGTGTTCACCCGGGAAGATGGACCGGAGTCACGTCTATTGACCGCTCGGGTGTAACACTTCTGGGCGGATTGGACATCGCCACGGACCACGCCGACCCCATTAGGGGTGGGGAATTTCATGCACAGGTGGGGCATAGAAATTATCCCACCGATCTTCATAATGGCGGGTCGGCCCAAGATAATGTTGTGGACGCAATGGAGGTTGACCACAACAAATTCTAGCTCCGTTTGGATCGACTTTGGAGGTGTGCCGATCTCGACCGGGAGCGTTATTTTTCCCTCGGGGTAAATAAGAGCCCCGGTAAATCCTGACAGTGGTACACCGACCGGAGTCAGCTCCTTCCTGTCGAGGCCAAGCTTCTCAAACACGTCCAAGTATAGGACGTTCACACTGCTGCCCGTGTCAACCATAACCCTCTGGACGTCTGTCCCCTTAACGTCAATCGTGACCACGAGCGCCTCCATGCCGTGGTCGCTGCTGGTAGGTTGGTCCTCGAGGGTGAAGGTTATGGGTTCCATCTTCTGCCTCTTCCCGGTCTCCCGGGAATCCACTATTGCGACCGGGCAGTTAGTCCGCGGTCGGGAAGCATCTTCCAGCCCACCAAAAATGACGTGGATGGTAGGCTTTCCGGACGGGCGGCTACCGGACGGAGGGTCAGGGTCCCGTCGGTCATCATGTCGATCGTCCCTTCGGTCGTCTCTTCGGTCCTAACCTGACCGATCGGAGCGGTGATGAGAACGCCTATGATCTCTCCGATCGGCATTCTTCTTGTTGTCCTCTCTCTTCCCCACACACTTGTCCAATTTTCCCAGGTTGAGCAGATCTTCCAGCAATTGGCGCAAGTGGGTACACTCCTCGGTATCATGCCCGGCGCATCGATGGTAAGCACAGTGCTTACTCTTGTCAGGGCCGTCTCGATCGGGATGGGGGAGTTTGATGAGATTGCAGGACTGGGCGTATTGCATGGCCTCCGCTGCGGATCGGTTCAAGGCCGTAAACTCGCCAGGCCTGGTGCGGGACCGGGGATTGTCATCTCCCAACCGATGCTCCGCCCGGCCGGCCGGTTTACGGGACGAAGAGCCGACCTCCTGCAAGCGCTTTACGGCGTTCGCCTCGCCGGCGTTGGCGTAATCTGTGACCCTCCGAAGGGCCTCCTCGTAACTGGTCGGGGGGTGTAGGATGAAGTCCTGATACAAATGCCCCGCTCGGAGAGATATGTGAAGCATGTGGGTGGCGGTCGCATCGTCCATTGGCTCGACCTCCCCGACCGCCGCTTTCCATTTGATGAGGAAATCGGTCAAGCTTTCCCCTTCTAATTGCTTGGCCTTCTCGAGATACATGTAGGACTTCCTCACCACTTTGGAAGTGATGAACTTCCTCACAAATTTGATCGCCAGGGTCTCAAATTTATTGATCGACCCCGGTTGCAGGGTACGGAACCACTCTGCAGCCCGACCGGTGAGGGTCGAGTAGAAGGCCCTGCACATCACGGCGTCCGAAACGCCCTTCAGCATCATGTTGCTGAAAAAATCATTCACATGGGCCTCAGGATCTGCCCGTCCGTCATAACTCTTCTCTCCAGAGACCTTTAAGTCCAACGGGTAAGGCTGGGCCATTACCGCTGCCGTGAAAGGCGCCTGGTGCAGGGTCGATTGGTTGACCGGGGGTGTTGCAGGGTACGCATTCCTGAGCTGCGCAACTTCCGCCTGGAGGTTATATAGTAATCCTCGGGTTTCGTTGAGCTCGGCGGCTTGAGCGGCTTGGGCTGTATCCCGAGCGCGTCGCCGTCGGTGAGATCTCGACCCGCTATACCCAGATGAAGCCTCCTGGCTAGCTTCCTGCATCTGTACGTCTTCTTGCCCGCGGTTCGGGTCTTGGGGTCCCAAACGCTGGCGCATTTCCGGTCGAAGACGATCAAAAGCTACCGCTCGGGCAACTTCTTCAGGGTCCTCCGCTTGGACGGCCTGAGCTGGTGCCTCCATCGCATCAGCACCCCCCGACCCCAACCGCGAATGAGCCGAGCGTCGAGCCCGGGATGCGGACTGACGCTGCGGCTCTACCTGTGCGGTCGGTTGTACTGGAGGGGCGGCGGCTGGAGCTGTATAAGCAGGCGTATATGGTGGATAACCAACCGGGGGAGTGTAGCACATCGGTTGGCCTGGCCAATACCCATACGGCGGAGGTGGGACCGGGTATGGATACTGGGCGGGATACATCATCGGCTGCTGCTGGTATGGCAGACCGGGTGTTGGGTACCCCGGTTGTATGTAATTCACCGGCTGTTGTGCGGTCGGGTATGCATTTGATGGATGCGGTGGTGAGAGGTTGAGGTTGAGGTCCATCGTCTGACCCTGCTGTTGGGTAGCATAGTGGTCGGAGGAGCTCGCCGCATCCGCCTGGTCGTCGGCAAAGTTGTTGTGTGCCCACGGATACATGTCGATATAGTGATCGGGTGCTCGTCAAGACGTTGGTTTCTTGCACGGATCCCCACAGACGGCGCCAAAATGATACTGCTAATTATACGTAAGCAATATGAAATAAGCCGAGACCAAATAAAGCAAGTAAATGTCTTTATTGATCACGGTAAAGGCCCTAAGTACAATCTACTTGGTTGCTCTGAGTACCGACTGACTGCGGTCGGGATTCTCTAACAACAACCTATCGATTGTCCAAAAGTCCACTACACTGTAGCTACTGTGGGTATTTATAGCCGCCGTGCCGGGGACAGGATTCCGGCCGCTCGGCATGTCTTCCACGTAGCCACCACGTGTCACCCTCCCGGGTGCCCTGTCTGTCATCATGAAGAGCCGCCACGCGTCCTTTCGCGTCCTTTCGCCAGCTCTCTCGTCAAAGGGCTACCGCTCGGTGATCGACACCAGCGTTCGGGCAACTTCCGGCCGTTCCCGACCGGGGTCTTCATGAAAAAGCCCGACCTGCTACCTGCAAAGATCAGAAGAAAAAGACAAAGGCAAAGTCGGTCGTGGTGGAGCTTATGTCGGTCGGGACATTCCCTACCAATGTAGTATAACTCTTCTTGGTATTATAGTTTAGATTAGATAATACATGTAGTGTAACTCTTCTTGGTATTATTGTTTTAATTAATTTAGAGTGAAATTATTATTAGAAGCTATTACAAGCCGTTTGGTTGGAAGGAAGGAATTAGGGTAGAAAGGAATTGTAATTCGGTGTGAAAATAATAAGGTAGGAATTCAAATTACAGTGTTTGGTATGCAAAATAAGATTACAGGGAATTGAAAGATTTAAGTGATACAATGACTGAAATGCCCTCATATAATAATAATAATAATAATAATAATAATAATAATAATAATAATAATAATAATAATAATAATAATGCCCTCAGAGACAAAAATGTCTTTTCAATCTGCAATTCAACACTGAATTACAATTCCCTCAAACCAAACGGCGTAATGGTGATCTTCGCAGAATTACAATTCAATTACACCTAAACTACCTACAACCAAACAACCCGTTAACTTATTTTTGAAATGCTACTATTTTAAGCTACTAACTTGCCAATGGTCTAGTGACTCTCCTAAATAGGAGGTCATGGGTTTGAGCCTATTCTGCCAATCAGAGCCAAATGCCTAATGTCACATTCACGAGTTGGAATTTTTTTTATTTGTTTGTTTGTTTGTTTTCACTTGTAAATTCATATTCATGAAACATGTGTTTTTTTTTTTTTGGGAGAAAGGACATGAAACATGTTTAATTGTTTATTAACTGAAAAATTCTCAGGTTTTTTTAAAAGAAAAATTAAGAAAAGGAAACCAAAAAAATGTTTACAAAAAGTAGAGTAATATTAGTATGGGCCCTTTGGGCTCACGAACCAAAACGGGTGGGCCTTAACAACGGCCCATTAATTCTGGGTGCGGTGCAGTCAGTTGAGTCAATCTTCTTCTTCAGTGAAACGTCAAGGTAAGAGGGAAATTCATCGGGAACTCCCAAACGCAAATTTTCTCCGGCGAAGGGGAGGATCCGTGATTCTAATTAGAAGAAGGAAGCGCATGAAAAATGCTCTACTAGTCGCAATTCAGTTATCAGACTTTGTTCTGCTACTATACGTTTTCCTACCGCGATTGTAAAATATGGCGACTCCAATTCGGGGTGCTGTTTGGATAGCAATTGTGACACTGAGTCTGATCATAACACAATCCGACTCAGCGTCTCAGGCGTACCGAAGGGATCCGGGTCATCCTCAGTGGCACCATGGAGCGTTTCACGACGTCAAAGATAGTGTTCGATCCGAAGTTCGTCAAATGCTCCACTCTCGCGCTGAGGTATATCTTACACCTGTAATCTAAAATTTTCCAGCTTTATCGACACATTCCAGGTACTGGAATTCTGATTATTAGGATTAATTATGTCAAAGCTTTTATTTGTATTTTGGTGTCTTACTCATACATATTTTCAGTATAAAGCTTCTCGATAGCTAAACTTTTTTGTTACGAAATGTTGCAAGATGTTTGCTTCATTCTTTCTGTTGGAATCCTTCAAGCTCTGAAAGAAAAAAAAATGAAAGAATGTGAGAAGGTCTTATATTTAATGCTTTGATCATTTGCCTCAACGACTTCTGTTTAGGGGTTTGTATGTGATTGGAAGCATCTCAACGCTACCTAATCATATGTTTATTTAGTGTTGTGCCTAGCCTAGCTTGGTTTTGATGCATGATTTTTTAATTTTATGCAGGTTCCGTTTCAAGTCCCTCTTGAAGTAAATATAGTTCTTATCGGCTTTAATGGTGATGGAGGGTATCGGTATACTGTAGATTCCCAAAAGTTGGAGGAATTTCTTAGAGTCAGTTTCCCATCTCACCGGCCCTCATGTTTAGAGACAGGAAAGCCACTTGACATTGAGCATCACATTGTTTATAATGCATTTCCAGTATGTTTTCTCTCCGTTTCGCTGATATATTTGCATGTTACTGCATTGCTGCTCTTGCAAGTTCATTTTATCAGGATTTTGTTTCACCACTTTGTTACAGGTTGGCCAACCTGAATTAATAGCTCTTGAGATAGCACTGAAAGCAGCTTTGGTTCCTGCTGGCACTGCAAGAGAGGTAATGGCACCTATTAATATCAATTTTGAGATATTCTGATTTTTCTTAGTCAAGATTCAGGTTTTGGGGCCTTTATCAATATTTGAACATTCTTTTGTGACTTATAGGTTGATTTTGGAAGGGAGGTGCCTTTGTTTGAGGTTGATGCAACTGTTGTAGAACCAGAATTTCAGAAGCTGTATTCATACCTATTTGATATTGACAATGGAGCACATTATGGGGAAGAGATGGACAAACCTTGGCCAACTACAATTTTTATTGTCAATTTTGATAAGGTGAGTTAATCAACTGTGAACTTGGAGTATTTCATTACATGGGACTACTGTTTATAAATTTTTGTATTTCATATGGAAATTGAATTCTCCATATAATGTAACTTAAGTTTGTGGCATATATACTTAATTTTTTGTCTTCTGGTCTTTGTGATTTGTTTTTCAGGTTAGGTTGGACCCTAGGAACAAGGATATCAACCTTGACAGTTTAATGTATGGAAAAATTGATCAACTTAGTGAGGAAGAGATGAAAAAGCAAGAAGGGGACTACATATATCGCTATCGCTATAATGGAGGTGGGGCTTCTCAAGTTTGGCTTGGCTCTGGCAGGTATTTTGCTTTTGGCTTCACTCCTACATAAATCTATTTTTATGACCTTTCTTTCTCAAATGAAAGAACATGGGAGAAATTTTCCAACTTAAACTTTTATGTAAATTTGGTATGCCTTTTCTCAAGGCGATTCTTTCATTGATATGATTGGGTGGTGATAATTAGTTCTTCATATTTTCTTTCATTTTAATGATTTGTTAAGTTTTTGTACAGTTTTTTAATTGTTTTTAATTTATGGCATGTATACAGCTCTAGTTGACTAGTTATTTATTATTCATATAAATGATTGAAAGTTTCCAAACAAGGTTGGCATGTCAGTGTATATACAATAGTTTGAGCCTCTTGACATTCTATTTCAGGTATGTTGTCATTGATCTCTCAGCAGGTCCCTGTACTTATGGAAAGATTGAAACTGAAGAAGGAAGCATCAGTTCTAAGTCACTACCTCGGTTACGGAATGTAGCTTTTCATAATGTAGCTGGTACAGTTAGCGAGCATTATGCTCATGACATTTTTGTTGGCCAGCTTGCATCTCTAATTGCAACCACAATTGAGCACGTAATTGCTCCAGATGTTAGGTATAGTCCCATTCTACTGAACTTTTATTTGTTTCCCTTTCCTGATCATTTTTCATTTTCTTATTTGAAATTAACTATTATAATATTATATTGCTTTTATATGGTTGAATTTCATAAGAGTAGAAATAGAATATATTACTATCTGGACTATAGTACTTTGTTGTCTTACTCTTGTAAGACCTTATTACCTCTATATGCAGCTACTAGTCATCCTGATACTTGGGTAGTAGTAGTAACTATATTGGTTTTAATCCTCTATAATATTATAGTCTGCATGCTTGATATGATAAAATAGATTTTGGTTTTCTTTATGAAAAGCTAGTAATTATCTTACCTGCCTTTCTTCCTTGTTCTTGAAATTTGAGTCTTATCACCATTTGTAGCAGTAATGTCTAGATCATAATTATTCCTTAGCAAGTTATAGTCTATCCTTCCTTTCTTGAGCAGGTTTGAAACAGTTGACATGACAACTAGATTGCTTGTTCCAATCATTGTCCTCCATAATCATAATCGCTACAACATCATGGAGAAAGGCCACAATTACAGTATTGATGTTGGTGCTATTGAGAATGAGGTAAAGTTGTCCTGTAGAGTGCCTGAATATATCTTTGATATCATTTTTATTTTGGCTAGATTGAAGTGGGATGGAGATGTGATTTGAACCCAAGCCAAATGCTTGGAATGTGGAAGGTGGCTTAGCTTACAACTAGGCTACATCTTGACCCATACTCTCAGTATTTCACTTCAAAATTGTACCAACCTTGAGAACTCTGTAGTCATTTTTGCAGCTAATGCATTAGATAACAATGGGACCCTAGATTCTTGCTCTGTGGGGGAATTAAAGGTTCTAGAAACTTGCTAGTTAGATTATGTAGAGAATATCATGCAAAGAACAAATGAACAGTATTCTTTTTTCAGGTTAAGAAACTTGTTCCCCAGGGGCAGGAAGTGGTGATTGTTGCTGGTTCACATGCCCTACATCACCATGAGAAGTTGGCTATTGCTGTATCTAAAGCAATGCGTGGTCATTCACTACAAGAAACCAAGAAAGATGGGCGTTTTCATGTTCACACAAAAATGTATCTGGATGGTGCTATCCTTAAAGAGGTCAGAACTCTTGATGTCTTTCTTTTTATTTTATTTTATTTGATTACCTTGCAGATTGGTTTAATGCAATTTCCTGTGGCATATAGCCACATTGCCAACAATCACTCTAACAATGTTTCTATAGTTGCGCCATGTCATCCTTGCTTTGCATATAGGAGTATCTTTTGTTCATTTTCAAAATAGATGATCCATACTTCCAGTTATATTTATTTTGTAAAAAAGATATTAGTAAAACGTAATTTCAGGAGATGGAGCGATCTGCAGATGTGCTTGCTGCTGGTTTACTTGAGGTTGCTAATCCATCCCTGTCAAATAAATATTTTCTCCGCCAGGTTGGTGTTGCTTAGTTGGATATCTGATATCGTACCATATCTATTTACCTGAGAACTCCTGTATCCTCTTAGAACTTTGGTGCTTTTGTGCTCTCCCCCACAGTGCTAAATATATATATATAATTTTTTTTTGTCCTTGCCAGCACTGGATGGATGAAAGTAATGGTTCAGTTGATTCCGTATTAAAACATAAACCTCTCTGGGCCACTTACAGCCAAGGGTATGGAAAGCAGAAGAAAAAGAAAGAAGTAAAGAAGAAAAGGGGGAATCTCTTTAGGACCTATGGCACTAGAGTCATTCCAGTGTAAGCTCAGTTATCTGTTTATCCAAAAAAAAAAAAGTAATCCTAGCCTGTCATTTTTACTCAGTTGATACCCTTATAGAAACAATATTTGCATCTGATGAACTATTATTGTTATTGTTTTATACCATTAATATGATCCGATCCAGAGCAGTAGATGGTCCTTCAATGTGGATCTCCATCCCCCCACCCCCACTCCCGAGCACATTTTGTTATAATCTTACAAGAGCTGTTTCACGCAATCTCCTTGTTGCAGTTTTGTTCTATCATTAGCTGATGTGGATGAACATCTTATGATGGAAGAGGAAAGTCTTGTTTGGACCAGCAAAGACGTAGTTATTGTACTCCAGCATCCTAATGATAAAATTCCTTTGAGGTACGAATGCATATATTTGCTGGTTGCTATGGTCAGTGGCTTGTTTACATGATATAAAAGTGAACTTTAGCTTGTTGCAGAGTTTCCACTGCAGCATAGTTTACCTCTGAGAGGAGCACTATTGTGCCCATTTTTCTTTTACAAATCTTTTGCTTTCTATTACCTCTTCAGTCTCCAATGCCATTTGATAGAACTCCCTATATTTGACTTTGCTCTTTGCAATTTTTTTGGCCAGTTATGTTTCCGAGCTGGAGAGAAGGCATGCTAGTCCATGGCAAGTACAACGTTATATAGTTGGAGGGGTGGCATCTGTTCTTGGTGGTTTAAGTGCCCCATATGAAAAGGCTTCTCATATTCATGAGAGGCCTGTTGTAAATTGGATGTGGGCAACTGGTTGCCATCCTTTTGGGCCATTCTCTAACACCTCTCAAATCAGTGAATTGCTTCGAGATGTTGCATTGGTATGCTCACTATATTGCTAAGCGTATAGTATTAGTAAGAAAAAGGGATTGTATGAATAATCAATCTTCTACTGTTCATCATGCAGCGAAACACAATATATGCACGTGTTGATGCTACCCTACGCCGAATCCGGGAGACATCAGAGGTTACTTGTCTATTTTCTGAAATCCATTACCTTGGCCTTATGCTTCATATTTATTAGCCTTGTTTCTCTATCAGGGTGTCCAAACTTTTGCAGCCGAACATCTGAGAACTCCTCTGGGTGAACCAGTGAAGGGTAAGAAGAACAAGACAAGCACTGAACTGTGGCTGGAAAAGTTCTACAAGAAAACAACCAACTTACCTGAACCATTCCCCCATGTGTTGGTTGAACGGCTTGAAAAATACTTAGATGTAAGTTTCTCCCCAATTTAAAATAACTTAACACATTGTTTTGTAAATACAGTTTGCTTAATATTATTTTTCAATGACAGAGCTTGGAGGAGCATCTTGTGGATTTGTCTGCCCTATTATATGATCATCGATTACAAGATGCCCACATGAACAGCTCTGAGATTTTCCAAAGCTCCATCTTCACCCAGCAGTAAGTTGGTTAAGAGATTTGGTGCCCATAAGCTGTTGATTATTGTGTAAGTAGACAATAACCCTTTGGTATTTTGATACAACAGGTACGTGGAGCATGTTTTGAGCAATGAGAAGGAGAAAATGAAATGCTGTAGCATTGAGTACAAGATTCCCGTGCAGTCTTCTCAAAATCTTATTTATGCGGGAATTCTTTTAGCCGGGTTTCTGGTATACTTCATTGTAATATTCTTCTCTTCCCCAGTACGATAAATAGGTAGAGATATATACTGTGATGGAATGCAAAGCTACTAACAATATGTTGCAGCCCTGGAGAGATGCTAAAGGAGGCGCTGTAAACGCTAGCTTATGTTTGTTAATACAGGGTTGGAATTTTGACTTTTAAATTATGTGTGTTGATTGATTACAAACAAACTTTTCTTATCTAAGTAGAAATTTCTTTGCTTGCATTTGTGTCAAAGATTCATTCCGTTCTTTTTAACAGTTTTATTGTTGTTGTTATTTGAAGCTGGAGAGTGGTGCCCGCCCGTGTCTGTATATGAATTGTAGACTTGTGCAAAAACGTTGAACTAAGTAACAGGTTAAAGAAGGATTTCTGGTTGTGGTGATTTCCGTACACTAATATCTATCTCTTCAATTTCCATTTCCATGGGATCCTATGCATTGTTCCAACCAAATGATTCCAAACTAGACAGTGATATATGTTTAAATTAGACCCGGTACCTAACACGTCTATGCTCCAAGACAAATCAATCCATCACTCTACAAATTTTTCTACCGTCCTTCATACTTTGATTTTTCCTTCTCACTGCACGTGTCATAACCCAAAAGGTATTTCATTTAATACAATTATCTTTTCCTTATATCTAAGCCTTTTTAAAAGATTCATTCATAATTCATTATTTAACTAAAAAATGTTTTCGCACACAACAAGAGTAAGTACGTGTGCATGGATGTGATGATATTTCTGAAACAAATTAAGGATGAATTATAGTAAAAGATTAAAATTCGCAAGAGGACTATATCCTTCTTTTACGGATGAATTATAGTAAATTTAAAATCACGTGTGAATGCCTCCGTAATTATTTGGGAATCAGTCCAAAGTTAGAATTGGTAGGTGGACCCCTATGTACTAGTGAGCGAATATTTCCAAGGACCTCAATTCGTGGTAGGCAAGAATGTGGGCTCAGCACCGCTGCACATAGTTACATATGATGTCATCTCTTACGCACATGAAATAAGTTGGTGGCAGCGGGCCACATTTGACCAGCTTGGCTTACCTTCACATAAATGAATGTTTTTTTTTTTTTTTTTTTGAAAAAATAAAATAAAATAGAAGCTTGTCTACCAAGACTTCGACTTCTGGAGGAGCCCAAAATATGGGAGTCCGCCTATATATACCTCCCTAGCGAAAGAGCGCCCTCTCAAATCTTATAAAGCTTCGCTTCAATTCATTCCCCTTTATTTGATTATATTATTATTTGTGGTTGGAATTTGGTGAGGAAAAGAAAAAGATGTGTCCGACGAGAACGGAGAGCGGCGTACACGGTGAAAGCGCAAGACGGTCCAGCACTTTGCGGTCAGCGTTCGAGGTGCTGGATGTGGACCGCGACGGTAAGATCAGCCCCGACGACCTCCGGACGTTCTACAAAAACGACTTTTCGATGGGAGCGGAAGATGATGAGTTGATAGGAAGTATGATCTCTGTGGCGGATTCAAACAAGGACGGTTTCGTGGAATACGAGGAGTTCGAGAAGGTTGTGGGGTCTAGGAGGGTGAGCGTGATGGAGGATGTGTTTAGGGTGATGGATAAAGATGGAGATGGCAAGGTTGGGCACCAAGACCTTAAGACTTATCTGAGTTGGGCAGGTCTTCAAGCCAACGATGAAGATGTGAATGCCATGATCAAATTGGGCGGTGGTGATGAAAATGGTGGAGGCGTCACCTTAGAGGGTTTATGCAAGATTTTGTGTATCTAATCTGATCTGATGAGGAGGCCTGAGGCCTGAGGGGATGGGGATGGGGATGGATACCCCCCTACAACTTTTTCTGTCCTTTTTGTTTTTTAGGTAGCCGTGCAGCAATGCAATTCCTGGCAACTTTCCTTGTCTTGTATCATGTGCTGAGCTGTATGACAGCTGCTATTTTCTTGTCTTTTATTCAACTCTGTAGATTCCATAATCAAATCAATTAAACATCACAGTTTTCCTTTCAAAAAGAAAACATCACAGTTTTTTTTTTTTTGAAATAAATACTGAATTATCTTAATTTACTTAATTCTGAAAAGCTCTGCTCTTAATTCTGAAATGCTCAGCTCCTCCTCCTCATACAAACCTACCCATCTCATCCTTCTCACTTACCCGTACGGAAGATTGCTTCAAATCAGACTTGAAACCTGGTGGCAATTTTGACACCACAGATTGTTCAAAATGTGTCTGTACATTTTTTTGAGAACAAAATGTGTCTGTCACCGTTGTTTATCAGCTATATATATCACTCCAAATAATCTACTTCTAGCTAACAAAGTACAACAATATATAATTTACCTTTCACCAAATTCTTCTTCTTGTTTAGATAAACACTTTCAAAATCCATCACTTCTTTGGACGTTAAACACATACTTTTCAATCTGTACGTGCAGTTAGTTAGTGTACAATGTGAGCAAACAAACACAATAGAAAGCCTCTTAAAAACACAGTAACAAGCAAATTGAACACCAAAATAGATAATTCATGGTTACCCTTTGGAAATATGATCTTAATAGAAACATAGTTCTGTCTAGCTCCATCTGGTAAAGATCAGAGATACTACTGTGAGTGGATCAACACCACTTTTTGTGTATTCCTCCTAAATGGTAAACATAAAGAAGCATCATAAAAGTGAGGCACGAGTAGACATTAACACAAGAAAAGCAACAAACTACAAATACATACAATATCACACAAGCTGAGAAAATTTATATTAGAATACCATTTAGAGGCCTATTGTGCTTAATGAAACCAAACATTATTGGGTTCTCTTACAAGTTACATCTCAGCAGTACTAGCACACACGACACACCATTCATTTGTTTTATCTTGGGCCAGCTACAGTTTTTCCAGGTATAAAATAAGTTGGAATACTATATAATGTTGTTAAGACCCATTTTGAAATTAAGACATTAATGAAATAGTCTTTGTTCTCTGGGGAAATTTTTGGGATTAACAATGTTTACCTTTCTCTATACCAGAGGTTAATTAGGTTATATTCACATGGTTTAATTTAATTAGGTTTGTCAACAGGCAGGATTAAAACCAACAAGTGTGCTATCAAATCTTTCAAAATTATCAAACTAGCTTACATATTGCAATTTATCCAGAAAAATAAATCAACAAAAACCCAAACCGCGACAGATCTTCAGTATGCTAAATATCTAGAACAGGGATCGAACAAAAAACTTAAACTTAAACTAAATGCATAGAGGAATTAGTTTTTTTATAACTTAATACTTCAAAACACTAAAATTTTAAAAACTATTCTATTTTCTGTAAAATGATAAAAAGTTATTCTAATTTTTTTTTTAAAAAATTATTTTACATGTATTTAATCATTAACCCAACAGCAAATAACTATTTAGCAAACACCATCTTTGAATTATTTTGACCAATTATTCATAAGTATTCCATAGGGGCCACACATAATAAAAAGTATTTTTAAAAAATAGAAAGAAAAATATTCAATTCAATCACAAAAGATAAAGTGGAACTTAGCTTTTTGCAACCATGCACGCCTCATCGATCTTATTCAAAATTAAAACAAAGTAGTCGGACATTACAAACTACATAGAGTAGTAGGCAGGAGCGGAGCATCCTAGATAAGATTTGTGAGATGATCACATGTATGTTCATCCCACTTTAGTTTCATAACCTACCATACCATACCTATCTAGAATTAAACTAAACAACGACACATCTTTTATTTTTTGTTGGCCAGGTTACGGCACATCGGCGTGCGTGCATGGTGGTCCAACGTACGCATCATCGATGAGATCAGTTGGCACCGCCGGCGGGATCCGACTTAGCGGTTGATTGGTTTGCAGTGGTGGTGGTGTCGGTGGCTGCAGAAGCAGTAGTAGTAGTAGGTTTGCATTGGCTCTGGCAGCCAGCTCCGCAGTAGGCTGCAGTGGAGCCACAGTAGCCCCACTGGCTGCAGCAAAGGCCGTTGCCGCACAGACGCCCACGGGCTTGACTCCCACACTGTTGTGCCATTATTGTTGATGGTGTCAACAACAAGCTGGCTAAAGCCAAGACAAAAAGAAACATAGTACAGAATTTCATTTTCTCTTTTATGTATAGTATAGTAGGTGTTTCTTGATCTTTCTTTGATGTGATGTTGTGTATGAATGAAACGGGAAGAAAAGAGGCAGCCTATTTATAGGGAAGTTTGGAGCAATTAAGGTGGTTAATTAGCTGATCGATCCAGCTGCGCTAGCTAGCGGCGCGGTGATAATAATCTATCGGATAGACTTGGGAGGTTGAGCCATATATGTTGACTGTACTTTCGGTGGACCTTATCCAACCTTAAAATATAGCCCCTAGCCTGCTTCGTAAATGAAGATGAAGCATATATATATATCCTACTATATTTTTAGAGCTGTCGTTGGAAAATAATAAACAAAATTGAATTCAAGAAATGTTGGCTGCATGCAGACTGACTTCCAATTCATATATATTGCTGAGTAATACATATATATAGCTTACCAGGATTAAGCTATGCACGCCGTGTGTCACTGTGTTGCACCGTGTATGTCCTTATTACTTTCTTGACGCCACGCATCTACCTAGCTAGCTAAGATCGACAATTCCGAGATTTGTTTACATGGATTCTGGTTTTATATATTTATGTGTTGAAATAATTAAGACATTGATAAAATAGTCTTTATTCTTTAATTTCAACAATAAATTCTTCTTCTCTATACGAGAGGTTAGTTAATAGTAACGGATATGTTTACATGAACTCATGAAGGCTTATGCATGCTGTGTTATGTTATGATAGCTAGTGTAAATGGATACTATAAAAGAATAACCAGATAACACAAGAGCGTAGGAGGCAAGTAAACTAACATGAGTGTCATTAATGGAATGGGATCTCTTAGCTATTACATGCCTCCTAGACCACCTCTTGTATAATGTGGGTATCATTATATTATACAAGAGTCTACACAAAAGTGCGCTGCATTTTCACTCAGGGGCGGAGCTACAATGGGCCGAGGTTATGGGGACAGCTGCCCCCCACCCCCCATATATAGTACCACTTGTACGTGTGTGTATATATATATGAGTTAATACTGTCCGAGGTCCTCCGATCCGAGTATAATGATTTTGCATGTTTAGTCCTAAACTTTCAAATTGACTATTTGTGGTCTTTCGACTTTCAAATTTAATCATCCGTGATCCAAGTTAACCACACATGGTCCTTCAACTATTAAATTTTAACCAATCAGGGTCATTTTAAAAGGACCATGACTGGTTAAATTTCAAAACTTGAAGGACCATGGATGGTTAACTTGGACCATGAATGGTTAAATTTGAAAGTCGAAGAACCACAAATGGTCAATTTGAAAGTTTAAGACTAAATGTGACAAAATCACTCTACACGAAGGACCTCATATAGTATTAACTCATATATACCCTCAATTATTTTTTATTTAAATCATTTTATCAAATTAATTATATTTCATATTTTGATATGAATATTTTTTTAATAAAATTTTGATGTATTTTAATCTTTCATACATATCCAACAATATTTATGGTTATGCTTTTAAGTATTTTTTTTTTTAAAATTATCTTGTTTGTATAGTATTAAACTTTCGCCCCACTACAAAAAATCTGGATCGGCCCTAGCTCCCAACAAGAATTCAAGTCAAAGCATCAAGTCATCCTAATTGTAATTCAAAACACTCTCTAGCATCCTCACAAGTAAATCTAATCCGGCCAATTGCTTACGAATTAATTTCACATTGTCTATATATATACGTTTTTCTGGTAGTAAAAGAATTTGAAGGAAAAAGTAATTAAATTGCATTGAAGCACAACCAATCTCTAAAACCCAAGCAATTCTTCAACAATTGTGATTGGATCTCACTTTAGGATCCTTAGATCAAGTTGTCAATTTGTTCTAAAAACCCTAGGGGGATTCTCTCTCTAAAAGAGAAAGTACAAATTTAAACAATGATAAAAATCTAACTAACCCTACAATTGAGATCAAAGAATCAAAGAATTCAATTTATAACTGAGAACTCGCCTACTTTCACATAGCTCATCACTCGGTAATGGACCACGTGACAAGGAGAAATGTGGATTCAAGGCCTCCTTACACGTGATATATATCTATGTAAAATACTCTTTTGACAAGTAATATATTTCTAATAATATTAATTATATATTGTATGATTAACTATTAAAAGTTTTTTTAAAAATAGGCAAAAGATGAAAATGGAACTTAGGTTAGTTTTTGCAACCATGCAGGCCACATCGATCTTATTATTCAAAATTAAAATAAAGTAGTCGGACATTACAAACGTAACTACATAGAGTAGTAGGCAGGAGCATCATATCCTAGCTAAGATTTGTGAGATGATCACATGGATGTTCATCCCACTTTAGTTTCATAACCTACCTACCTATCTAGAATTAAAATAAACGACGACACATCTTTTATTTTTTGTTAGCCTGCAGGTTACGGCATATCGGCGTGCGTGCGTGCATGGTGGAGGTGGTCATACATTATCGATGAGATCGATCAGTTGGCACCGCCGGCGGGATCCGACTTAGCGGTTGATTGGTTTGCAGTGGTAGTGGTGGTGGAAGCAGCAGCAGTAGATTTGCATTGGCTCTGGCAACCAGCTCCACAGTAGGCTGCAGTGGAGCCACAGTAGCCCCACTGGCTGCAGCAAAGGCCGTTGGCGCACAGACGCCCACTGGCTTGACTCCCACACTGTTGTGCCATTATTGTAGTTGGTGTCAACAACAAGTTGGCTAAAGCGAAGAGAACAAGAAACATAGTAAAGTATTTCATTTTCTCTTTTAATTTATGTATAGTTGTGCAGGTGTTTCTTGATCTTTCTTTGTGTATGAATGAAACGGGAAGAAAAGAGGCAGTCTATTTATAGGGAAGTTTGGAGCAATTAAGGTTTAATTAGCTAGCGGTACGGTGATAATAATCGGATAGACTTTGGAGGTTGAGCCATATATATATATATATATATATATATATATATATATATATATATATATATGCTTCATCCATCTTCATTTACGATGCTATATATATTTTAAGGTTGGATAAGGTCCACCGAAAAAACAGTCAACAATATATATATATATATATATATATATATATATATATATATATATATATATATATATATATATATATATCCTAATATATTTAGAGCTGTCGTTAGAAAATAATAAACAAAATTGAATTCAAGAAATGTTGGCTGCATGCATGCAGATTGCAGACTGATTTCATGTATATTGCTGAGTAATACATATATATAGCTTACTAGGATTAAGCTATGCGCGCCGTGTGTCACTGTGTTGCACCGTGTATGTCCTTATTACTTTCTTGACGGCACGCACCTAGCTATCTAATTAATTAAAGAAATTAAAGACATCGACAACTCCGAGCTTTGTTTACATGGATTCTGGTTTTATATATTTATGCTTTGTTTATATGTTTAATTACACGAAGGCTTATACGTATATACTGTGTTATGTTGTTAAATTATGTTGTGATAGTGTAAATGGATACTATAAACGAATAATGAGATAAAACATTTTACGTGAAAATTTAAAAGGAAAAATTACATATTATATCTTTTTGAGTTGGATTAGATCGATCGTAATATATAATCTAGTAAGTGGTCGATGGAAAGTAAGTTGAGTAAGATGGAATCTTCATTCACCTGGAGTGTCGTTCTCTAAAAATGACACGTGAAAATTGAACGTAACAATGCACGGTTAAGCACAAGAGCGTAGGAAAACAAGTAAATTGACACGAGTGTAATCAATCAAGGGAATGAAATCTCTTGACAACTACACACCTCGTAGTCTTCTTGTATAATGCGATCATCATTATACAAGAGTTTACACAAATGTCCATTTCTGTCAAAAATTCAAGTCAATACATCAAATCACTTTCTAATTGTAATTCAAAACATTCTAGCACCCTCCCAAGTAAACTTAATCTGGCCAATTTCCTAAAAATTAGCTTTTCCTAAAAATTAGCTGCACATTATCACATGATAGCTAGAATGAAAAGTCAGTGGAAGCAAGGAAAATGTAAATTGCAATTGTAATGAACAAACTTAAATATCTTGAAGCACAATCAATCTCCAAAATCCAAGCAATTCGATCTTCAACAATAATAATTGTCTTTTCAAAAAACAATAATAATTGTGATTGGGATCCTCTTATTAGGATCCTTAGATCAAGTTATTAATTTGTCCTAAGAACTCTAGGGAAGATGATCTCTCTAAAAGTTCAATACAAATCTAAATAATAGTAAAAATCTAGCTAACCCTCGCAATTGAAATCAAAAAATTCAAATTATAGCTAAAAATACACCCTCACGCGGCCTATCACGCGGTAATGGACCGCATGACAAAGAGAAATGAGCATCCTTTCACACAGCTCATGCGGTAATTAGGAGTACTATTTCTTGATGTAAGTACATTAGTTCCCTCAATTATTTTAAAAATGATTATTTTTTCAAATTCCTCGATATATTAAATTGACATTTCTATCTTTAAAGTAAACATGTTATTTATTTTTCTTCTCCAACAAATTATTGCGTATACGTACAAATGACCACGGTTCAAATTAAAAATTTCCGGTTATGAAATCCTGAACCCAAAATTTGGATTTCAGTTTATTAAAATTATGAATCGGAAAAACTGAATCCTGAACCGTGAACCGACGATTCCGGATCTGATTCGCGATTTTGAACCGTCTTTATTTTAAAATAGTTCAAATTCAATAATGAATGTATTTTATTTTTTTTCCAGTTCGGAGCATGAACCGGCCGTTCTAGTTCGCGATTTTAATAAACTCTAAATATCGGATTTCGATTCTAAGTTGTAATTGAATATTTCGGTCTGGTTGCTATAGTGTCTGTTTGGTTTGAACCAAATTGTGGTCATAATTTGATGAACCAAATTTAAGGATAAATATGTCTATTTAACATTTCAGGGAAAAAACAACCACTTAAATAATTTAAGAGAGAAAATTGCTATAAGTATATAATTCAGGGGGAAAAGTGCTATTTTCTTTATTTATTTATTTTACATGTGCAATTGGTAAAAATATATATCCAATATTTAATACTAAAATTTTTTAATTATATTAAAATATTTCTTTTAAAATAATACGGAGTAATATATATATATATATATATATATATATATATATATATATATATATATATATATATATATATATAATGAATTAATTAAAATTTAAATGATATCAAACTTATTTTTTATATTGATATCAAACTCATTGAAAAATATAAGAAAATATATTGTATATATGTATATGTGTATGTTAATAATGATGGGAAATGATAACCAGAGTTATGATATTTTATCTAAAAATTATATATTATAATTTTTGAAATATAATGTTTTAAAAAGTTAATAAAAAATATACCTTTTTTTTTAATATATCTAAATTAGGAATATAACATGAATTGAAATTTATTATGTTTTTAGATATATGCATAGAGTATTAGTAGAATAATTAATAATTAAACTAATGAAAAAAATTAAAAATGGAGGTTTTGCAACCATGCAGGCCTCATCTTATTCAAAACTAAAATAAAAGTAGTTGGAGTTTACAAAATACAGTAGGCAGGGCAAGCGTAAGATTTATGATCGAGATGATCACATGTATGTTCATCCCTTCATATGTAACCTACTATACCCTGGCCTAGTATTAAACTAAACGGTCGACGATGACACATGTTTTATTTTGCCATAACTCTTGGCTAGGGCTAGGGCTACGGCACAACTGCGGACATGCATGGTGGTACGGTCTAACGTGGGATGGATTATTATATATGTTATTGTGCGATGCGGGCGTATCGATCAGTTGGCACCACCCGTACCGGCGGGATCCGACGACTTAGCAGTTGATTCGTTGGCAGAAGCAGCTGATCGGCATTGGCTCTGGCAGCCAGCTCCACAGTAGGATGCAGTGGAGCCACAGTAGCCCCACTGGCTGCAGCAAAGGCGGTTGCCGCACAGACGCCCACTGGCTTGTCTCCCGCACTGTTGTGCCATTGTTGTTGGTGTCAACAACAAGGCTAAACCAAACAGAACAACAAACATAGTAGAGTACTTCATTTTCTTTTATATATATATTATATATGTAGCTAGCTAGGTATTTCTTGAATTGATGATAGCAGGAATGAAAAGAGGAGGCAGTCTATTTATAGGGAAGATTGGAGCAAGGTGAGCTGAATATAGCCTACTTCTCGATCTGATCGAGCTGCATGCATGCGGACATGCAGATAACATCGGATAGACTTGGGATATGGAGCCATAGTTGACTGTTTTTACGTACGGTGGATCTATCTATCTTATCCAACCTTAAAATAATCATCTGCTTTTTAGTTGATGATCGGACGGATGAATTGAAGTATATCATATCCTAGCTAGCTACTATATTTAATTAGTACTGTGTTGTCCGAAAATAGACCAAATTTGAATTCAAGAAATGTTGGCTGCATATATGCAGATTGCAGACTGACTACTAGCTACTTCATCATATTGCATTGCTGAGTAATAGAAGAAGCTTACACGAGTTAAGCTTTGCACGCCGCGTGTTGCATCCTATCCTTATTATATACTCCATCGGTCCCTAATTGATTGTCTCATTTGTTTTTTGCACGATTTTTAATACAACAAAATAAATGTTATTAACTTTCCAATTTTAACCCTCAAAAGTAGGTGTTATTTGAACAAAGTACATTGTACTTACCTCATTAATTATCTAAGAATTTAGAAAGTCAAAAGGGTAAATTGGAAAATGTAGAAGGATAGTTATGTTCAATTTTGAAAAGATGACACTATTTTGGAACAAACAAAAAAGAAAAGTAAGACACATAAAATGGGACGGAAGGAGTACAAAGCTAAGCTGGCATGCCTAGCCATTTATTTAAAGAAGAGAAAATAAATAGATCCACAACGCCAAGTTTTAATTTGGTTGAGTTAATTCCGGTCATTTGTTTGACAATTTCAAATTTAGTCTCAAATTATTATTTTTATCATTTAATATTTTAAATTATTCAATATAATTGATTTAATTGGTTTAAGACTTGATAATCACTGATTTTTAATAACTATATTGATAAGTTATATATCCAGATCCGTGCCATCGCTTACAGTCGGATCGAGATCTCACGATTCGGATCTTGACATACAGATCGGAGTCAAAGGTGGGTCAAACCCGTGGGTTCCACCTCGGTTGACCCTATAAAAGGGCCTTTAGCCCTTTGGAATAAAAGAGGCCATTTGGCCATCTTTCTCTTAATCCTTCTCCACCCTCTCTATATACAAAACACAAATACATTCCTAGGAACCCCCCTTACTGTTGTTGGTAAGACTCGATCCCTGGTCATTCTTCCAAAGTTTCACCTTTATGACCAATTGAGCTATCCACACATGTTTTTATACATTTACATACATATACATACACCCATATACCGAGGGGATTAGTATGTACTATCATATATTTTTAAACCAGTTTTTAGTAAAGTTCTAAACCAATTAAATCGGTTAAAATCGAAAAAATAACAAAAGAAAAATATGAAAAGATAACAAATATTCTTATTAAAAATTAAAAGAAAATCATAAAAAAATTAAAAGTGTCCAAAATTAATAGTTAGAAATATTAAAGGGCAAAAACGATAGTTAATATTAAATTTGAAATTTACATCCAAGACAATAATATACCTCTAGTAGTGGAATTAACTCGATTTGGTTAGTTAAATATACTTCATTATTGCATCATGCATGCATTGGATGAGAATATATGGTCCATATGGATCATGGATTTATAATTTATATATTAAAGAAAATAGAGAAATTGATTGTAAAATTATTGTTTATGTCAATTTTCTATACGTACACTTATATTTAAGAGTTTATTACCAAAATGGTCCCTCGACTATTTTGAAATTATCAATTTGGTCCTCAATAATTTTTCTTTCTCAATATATATATATATATATATATATATATATATATATATATAAAGCAAGTCAATATTAATATTCATTATATTAACGTTGATCAAATAATTAGCTCAATTAAATATATAACATTTAAAGTTTAGCATCGATTATATATAAATCGAGAATTTTAAAAATCATTTTCTTAGCTTGTAGTTAAAAAAAAAAAATTTATGTTAAGGTTTTTTTTTTTTTGGTTGAATTAATCTTCTTTTGATTATTTAGAACAATACTCAATATTTCAATTATGCTTTTGATTTATTGGAATGATTTAGGTCATTGTGGTATTAATTCATATTTTTGTATGTATTTCTATAATGGTACAATTGTACATTACTTTACAAATATTGTACTATTATTTTTTTTATCGGACAAAATTGTTCTTACATCATTATCGAGCCCCCAACTTTCGTTCTTGATTAATGAAAACATCCTTGGCAAATGCTTTCGCACTTGCCTGTCTTTCATAAATCCAAGAATTTCACCTCTGACTATGAAATACGAATGCCCCAAATTGCGCGACATATTGTTGTTGTTGAATCAGACTGTTTAAACTTTTGTACTACTTCCAATTCTTTAACTTTGGACTTTTCTTATGTTGGTTTGCTTATAAAGCAATGTCATCTCATTGCTAGTGATATGGGCAACGTCTGTGTTCGCCATATTAGAAGATCAACGAATCAGGTAGTTCATGTTTTGGCTAGGACGATAGGTTCTTTGTCTGTCCTTAATTAGTACTTGGAATTCTTCCCCATCTACTTGTATTTCGAGCTTTTTCAATTCTCAATGAAGCTTCGGTTATTCTAAAAAAAAAAAAAAGAGTATAAATCTTATATTATAATGTATTAAAAAACTAACAAAAAATAGACATAAATCATAAATATAACAATGATTAAAACTTGTTATACTTTTAGATATATTCGGGAGTATCCCAACATTATTTAAAAACAAAATATTAATGATAAAATTTAAAATGGAACTTTTGCAACCGTGCAGGCCTCTTCTTATTCAAAATTAAAATAAAGTAGTCGGAGTTTACAAAATACAGTAGGCTGGGCAATCGTACATTCGTACGTAAGGTTTATGAGATGATCCCATGTATGTTCATCCCTTCATATGTAACCTACCCTAGTATTGAACTAAACGATGATGACACATGTTTTATTTTATTTTTTGTTAGCCATAACTGTTGGGTAGGGTTATGGTACAACTGTGGGCGTGCATGTTGGTCTAACGTATAGGTAGGATGGATTATGTTATGCGGGCGTATCGATCAATTGGCACCACCGGCGGGATCCGACTTAGCGGTTGATTCGTGGGCAGAAGCAGTAGTAGATTTGCATTGGCTCTGGCAGCCAGGTCCACAGTAGGCTGAAGTGGTGCCACAGTAGCCCCACTGGCTGCAGCAAAGGCCGCTGGGACACACACGCCCACCGCCTTGGCTCCCACACTGTTGTGCCATTGTTGTTGGTGCCAACAACAAGGCTAAACCAAAGACAACAACAAACATAGTAGAGTACTTCATTTTCTTTATATATATATATATATATGATCTGATGTGTTACGTTGTCGGATGGGTTGTGAATGAATGAAATGGGAAGAAAAGAGGAGGCAGCCTATTTATAGGGAAGATTGGAGCAAGCTCTTGGGAGATGGAGCCATAGTTGACTGTTTTTACTTACGGTGGATCTATATATCTAATATCTATCTTATCCAACCTTTAAAATAATCATATGCTTTTTACTTTTTAGTTGATCTGAGGACGGATGAAGTATATGTATATCCTAGCTGGCTACTATATTTAATTTAGTACAGTGTTGTCCGATCCGAAAATAAACAAAATTGAATACAATAAATGTTTGCTAGCTGCAGACTGACTTCATTATATATATTGGATGATGAGCTGAGTAATAGACGAAGCTTACACGAGTTAAGCTTTGCACGCCGCGTGTTGCAAGCATCGTATCCTTATGGACCTTATTATATAAGCTGTTGATCGACACGCATATATATATCAAGCTGGCATGCCTATTTAAAGAAGAAGAGAAATCCAGAACTAATTAACCCCGAGCTCTAATCTGCAGGTTAAATATACTTAATTATTGCATTGAATCAGAATATAATGGAGCTGAGCATAGATTTAAAATTAAAGAAAAATAGAGAAATTAATTGTAAAAATGATTATATCAATATTATATTAGATTAACCAAAAATTGAACTCCTAATCTGATCTTTAGGGTGAAAATAATGCATGCTTTACCGACCTAGCTACTTCTTTCGGGGACCTCAATTGGACCTTTGGTTAGTTCATTATTTAATGTGTCGCTTTCCACTTTCTTGGCTTACCATAATTAATAATATAGAATTTAAATTAATAATTAATTATGTTTTTTTTTTAAATACTCATTCTCAGTAGGAATTTAAACCTATGACAACTCATTTAAAATGGTAATCAATATGTCATTACATTACAGTTTAGTTGATAATTAATTATGTTTTAAATAAAAAGTAAAATTATTGCATTTTTCTTCAAAAATATTACACATTCTTATATAAGTAATAAATATTTTATTACTTATTAGTACTACATTTTTCTAGTATAAATATTACATTTAATATTGACCCGATCCGTCTCACACAAGTTTTTGCCTATTTATAATTATTCATCTAAATAGCAATTTTCATTTTTTTTTTGTCAATACAATTATTAGATCTATATTAAATTACACACACACACACACACACACACACACACACACACATATATATATATATATATATATATATATAATTTGGTTAATATGAGAACCACTCTCTGTGAAAACCTGTGGACAAATCTAAATCATTGATCTAGTAGATCTAACATTTAAAAAAAAATGAAAAAAGTACTAGGTAATTTTTATAAATATTACAAAATTTTGCCTATCCATTAGATCTTGCATAAATATTGATGGTTCGGATTTTATCCACATATTATATTTGTATATGTTTAATATTTGGATATAAAGTTATGGAATTAATCTAGCTTAATTAGCCTTAACTGGCCAGCCGATATAAAAATGGACAATCACAAAATGAACAATACCACACTTTACATATATCACGTAGCAATATGGAGTACATTGTACTGCAAATGTATATATGCATATACATAAAATCCTATCTTCGTCTATTATACATACTCGCATAAGCTAATTATAATGTTATTGTAGTACAAGCTTGCAAATTAAAATATAGGCTGCCTAGCATGTTCTTAACTTTTTATTTAAAAAAAAAATGATAAAATTATATTTCACTCCTTCAATATAATTGTAACGTTATCTATATATATAATTCATACTACATATGGTAGAAAGTTGGGTAGTACGGTGGTCAGTTCTTTCGCCCACCGGTGCACTGGTTTAGATTTTCACAGGGGAAAACGCGATGGGTGTTTCCATCGGAGGATGAACCAGGCGGAGCAGAACCTTGGCCGTAGTTACCTTGATTCTCATTTACATCATTTTCTGAAGCTTCAGCTTCATCTTCATCTTCATCACTAGTGCTGCTGCCTAGAACTTTTCGACCAAGATAGTTTGCCGCACCAAGAAGCCGTAGCCGATGCTCCTCCACGTTAAAATGTTCCGCACCGGCTTGCATATTCCCCAAGATCAACACCAACGCCATGCACACCACTACCAAGCTGCAACTCCTCATGATTCAATAATCTCGTATATTATCCTCACGCCCTCCCTCCCAATATACTAATCTGGAACGTAACAAAATAAATATAAAATATACATACGCACGTTAACACATGAATAAGCTAGCTAGCTAGCATATATATGGATCATCATCATCATATATATATGTACTATAATTAAGTTTCAAATGATCGAGGCTGAATCGAAGCTAATTAATATAATAATCACAACGAAATGCATGCATGAGGAGTAGGGATTACCGCTTAGTTTTTGATTGGCAGAGGAACTGATCCAACAATCGAATACGTTTTGATGATGCGTGATATATAGAAATGTAAATCGTAATTTATAGACGATATGATCAAGTTGTTAGATCACTTTTATTTTATTACTTGGTGGGATTATATTAGATAAGAGTAATGATATATGGAAGCAAGCGTGATCTTAGCACTAGTTAAAATGGCGCACAATCATAATCCGTCCTAACTACTTAAATATAATATTATATATATATGCAACGTAGACCAACCACTAATCTCAGCAATCATTACTGTATATTACGGCCGATTAATTATTCCGTCCAAAGGTCAAGCTAATTTTAATAGGTGGTTAGCTAACCGTTTGGCATACACACTAGTTACGACCACAGTTGATTCTAATAGTAGTTCTTCAATTTAGGAGTCCACTCCTCTTATGTGTATTCAATACCTTATTGATTAATATAATATATTTCTTCAATTCGTTGGGTTGACTTTATATATATATATATATATATATATATATATATATATATATATATATATATATATATATATTAAAAGTGCTTTTTTAGAACAATGACTTTTTATTAGTTTTAATTGAAGCATGTGTTCCATCTCACCTAAAAATTTAAACGGATAATTGAATTGCACATTTATGTTTATATATATATATTATATGCTCAACAGTTTTATTACACAATTTTGTGGGCACAACTTAATTATTGATAAGCATATATATGTTGTAAATTGGTGCACGGGTGCTTTGGGTTTAATTCATAATCGTCATGGTGACGGTTGTAGTTGAAGAAAATGGATGGGCACTAATTAAAGAGGTAATTATGATTAGGGGAGATAGTGTTGAAAGTTTGTCCGCTAAATCTATGTTTAGTGGCATAATGTGAATTATGTTTCCACACTAGATTCAGTGGGAGGTGACATTTCATATTTACTATGATTACCGTCTTCAATATTCAATATTAATCAGCGGACTATGATTATGATCAATAATTGTTCAATATGTAACATTAATCAAATAATTATTATGTAAAAACAAATTAAAATGTATAAATTCATAATAATTATGAGTGCTAATGCATAAATTCTCTTGGTAATCCTATCATAAACTACCAAATTACTTGAGATATATAGATTAAAGTAATATTGAGGAATGTGTTGAATAGAGATTGATCAAGTTCGAATTAGTTAAGGTAACTTATGAATTAGGTAGTGTCTATATTAATAAATTATGAACTCTTTTCGGTCCAAATATGAAGTATGTGTTTATACAATAGAAGAACAATGTAGCTCTTACCCGGATCAAGCCAATGTAATAAAGAGATGTGGAATATGACAACTAATGGGGAGATGTAGCCTTGAATCAAATGTTGGTAAAACATTGTAACAAATTAAATTACAATGGGTTGATAATAAAACATGATTTTATCTTTTAGTGATTTGAATTGAGTATTTGAATTTCGATGACTTTAAATATATATGTTGAATGACTAAGAATAACTCAATCTATAGCTAACTAAATGACTTGCTTATTGGTGATGGCGAATGACTTATATGCTAGGGAAGACCAAGTGAATGTCAAGCATTGAATAATTAAGTTGAACCGCAATGACTTGATATACTAAGTCCACTGGTCACACTCAATAATACGTGAGCCATAATTATTTTCCTTCAAAAAAAAAAACAACAGAATTTTGTTTTAAAAAATACATATTTAATATAACTACTTCTATAAACTTCTTAAAATTACAAATATGCTCCACAACACTTTATTTTTAAAAATTATAGAATTTCTCGTGTAATATTCCAAAAGCTAAGTAGTTAGCAGGCTACTAGGCATCAAAACAGGCTTCAATTTTCATATATTGATTAACAGACGGGCTAATGGGCCCCCAACCAGAAATGCTAAGTTTAGACTAATTCTTGAAGGGCCTAACGTCCATCCGCTTCTCCCTCTGTAGACGTTGCTAAATCCGCTTTTCTGTCTCCCTCGGACGAAATTCAAACCTTCGCGCCAACACGAAGCTGAGAGAAGATGAGGGACGTCCATTTGCAAACTCCTCAGAACGATCTCTCTCTCGCCAATCGCAAATCGAAATCCATTCACGATCACTCTAAGAAGACTCTGAAAGTTCGTATCCTTCTCGCCGGAATCCTGATCGGCTTTTTTTACAAGCACATGCATTCGCATAACGCGTATATGTATACCTTGACCGATCCTCTACATGTTTTGCAGAATGCGAAGAAGAACTTGAATTCTGAGTTCTCTGCGTTTGTGGAAGGTGCTGCATTGCACGAATCGCCAAACGACACCGCCGACTTTTCTCTTATTTCGGAGGCTGTGGATGATTATCAATTTGGCGATTCCACCGAGGTAATTTCAAAATTCACTTCTCCATTCCTTCTTCAGATGCGTACCTCTACTGTCTCATCACAGTTTTAGGAGCATGCATAGTACGTATTTTATATATTTTTGTGCAGAAATTTTACAAATGCATTTGAATATTTACATCTTATGTATGTATATAAGCTCCACCTGGATTGTTTATAGAAATAATTTTGGGCATCTGATTCTGTTTCAGAAATTTGTTTTTCCATTGCTTCCAGAAGTTTCCCCTTCATCAGACAATGGTGGTCTCTCTGACCTCACTTCTGTGTCATCTGGAATTGCTTCTGATATATACTCAACAGGCATTTCCTCAACCTATCAATGCCAGAATTCTGAAGCAAAGATTTCTGTGGAGACAGAAATGGCAATCAAGCATCTAAGACAGGTGCGAAATCAGGTCATGAATTCCACAGATGTGGATCTGCAGTCTAAGAGGCTTCTGGATGCAGTAATTGATGTTGTAATGCAGGAGTTCTGTGGTTTGCCCGAAAAGAAGAAATGCTCAGACTCGCCTATTTTGAAGAAATGTTTACTGGTATCACTAACTTTCCTGCTGTGGATCCTTGCTGTTTTCTTTGGTTCACTGTTCAGCTCTAGTGGAACACAACCCTTCCTTGGTCCTCTACCAACCTGAAATTGTCCATACATTATATGATTACTAGAAAAGTGTAAGCACTATATGTTCTACCATGCTGAAATCTTTTTATGCTTTTGAATGCTACTGAACTTTGAACTGATCTACAAATTTGTCAATCTATAGCATTTTCTTTTGCCTCTGAACTACTTCTGTAGTCAGACTATACACTACTTGATTAAATAGGTTTAGGGACTGAACTTTTACTAGGACTCTGTATTTAGTTAGGATATGAAATTTTAAAATTGTTTGTTAACGGGGATGGAAAATCTCATTTTCTGTGCTTTTGCATCTCTAAGTTAGTGTAATACAAAGTTCAGATACAGTATTGGATGAGATTTAAATGTTTATATAGTTTGATACATGTGGATTGAATACTCTTTTACGGTACCTTAGTTGCAAGTTGGATTACTTAGTCACTAGCGTGAGACCTATATACTGCGAGATATATCTTACATGTAGTTGATAGCCACTTAGAGGAGTTGGGAGTTGTTGAATGCTAGTAAATAGGAGGGAAATCTGATTGCATGATTATAAAGGGAGCAGTTAGAATCTAATTTGATTATTCAAAAGATGGGTGATGCATGTGAATCTTGATTTTAGGAGTCAAGCTGTCAAATTGATGGTTAAAATATTTGTTGAACTTATCATTCGTGTTAGACTGCTAGTAGCTACGGGACTTCCTTAAATGAAGATGTGTGGAAAACTGTTACTCCGTATTACTTAACTGTGGATTGGAGTTCTACTACTGTTTTTTTTTTTTTCATTGTAATTAGATCCTCAAGCTTGGAGACTGGAAAGAGCTGTACTCCTTTATTTCGAGAAGGCTATGCAAGAAAGAGACGAACTTCATCCACATGCCTTTTAAAACAAGAACTTATGTAAAGGTGGGAACCTTGTAGACCTTCTTATACTCAATGGTGCTTTTTAATATATATATAAAATACTGGTCATGCGTAATCAAACATGCATTTTGACAATTAATTGCCATAAAATGATTATTTCTTTGTTGTTTAGCTAACCTTGGCGCTTCATATCAAAGTTTAATCATTACAAAATCTATAATTTGTTGGCATGTTTATCATAGCTAGGAATATTAAACATGTTTATTGACAAACATGCACTGGTGTTGACCTTAATTATGATGGAGCATGTTGTCTTTGAACACTTAGAAATGTGAATAATGGCACAACAACTCTCTTGACATTATTGGAAGTTGAAACACTAGTGAAGGAAGAAGACTTCCTTTCTGTCATGAGTTATTTAGAATTTAGATGTCCGTTCAATAATGTTATCCAGTAGTGCTACTGTTTGGAGCTTTAGCTAGAAAGCAAATTGGTGCATTTTGGATTGTTTGAAAGGAGCCACATTTCAAGTTAATGCTTGCAAAGACTTAGTAGGTTTCTGGAATTAGTTTGAAAATCATCTCCCCTTGTTTCATTGTTATGTGAATTGTTCTGTCAATAACGTATGGGGGGATGCAAGTTGCTAGAACTGGTCTCCCTATACTTGTGTCGTGCCACAGCATCGAGTCTTACCCTGTTTTTAGATATTTCCCAGCTCCCACTGCTCAGTGTTTATTGGTGTCTCTAGGTTGGGGGGCAACCCCTCTGGAGCATCTATACATTCATACTCCCTCTGCCCGTGTTTTTATTTAGTGACAAAATTCTACAATAATTTATTGTAATAAAATTAGCTGAAAATCTGAAATACACATGGGTACGATGATTTTGGTATGACTTTGGATTAGGTTCAATGATTATTGGAAACCTTTACGAAATACACCAAACCGTAATCATGTAGACATGTAGTGTTGGCATATTATTTTTTAAATGACTGTTCCTGCCAGCATGTAGTTTTTACACTCTATAACTTGCTGGCATGAATAATCCAATCCCATCATAGTTTTACTTTGTTCTGGTTAGTTTACTTTATTTCGTAATTGTTGTTAGTAGTTTAGTAAATGACATCTTTTTGCGGGTCTTTGTCTATAAGACGGGTCGAGTGGTAAATAATTAAGTGTCTAAATATCACAATTTTAATTATAAATATTACTCCGTACAATATTTATTATTAGTAACAATTAATTTATCCTAAATAGTATAACAATTTTACATATATAAGTATTACAATATTTGTAACGATTTATTTTTAATTTAAATTGGTATTAAGTTTTTCTACAATAAACATTACAATATCTTTTATAAGCAACATTTCACATATAAATATTACAATATTTACAATTTTAAATTAGGATTAGTGATTACACTTTATAAGTATTACAATTTCACATATAAATATTACAATATCAATTATAAAAAAAAAAAACAATTTATTTATTGTAAATTGATATTAAATTTTCTCTAATAAGTAACATTATCATAGATTTGACTTGTAAGATCTGTGAGATGTTCTTACACCAAGTGTCACTCTTAGTAAATATATAATAATAAATGTCTTTATAATTTATAATTATTCTATAAATTGTAAGCTTATTATTATCACTTTAAATATAAACAATGAACCTTCATCGATGCACCTTCAAAATCCTTCTAACCATATCAGGCTAAATCCAGGTATTGTAGTCATTCCCTTCTTTCCTTCTCCAAGCAATTTCTTTTCAATTTCCCATTTATAAACAATCCCCATTGTTGCTCCTTTTTTCATTCAATATTCTATCGGTTTATGACACCAATTTGCTATAACCAGGCTGTCTTACTTTTGGAAAAGTTAAGATTAAACAACCCTTTGTATTTGGTGGTCCAAAACAAAGTAAAGGTAGTGATGTTTTATTTATAAAATAGAATAATGATATTATTTATTTTGTTTGATCTAAAAGTGTATATAAAATCAAATTAGTTTTGTGTGAGAATTACAAGTTAGATAAAATTATTCTTTTATTTACAGTTTCAAGATATGATGCAAATATTAACTACTCCATATTTTTTAAACTTGATTGACAATGAATTGATGACACCTTTATTAATAATTATTTTAAAAAAAAAAATACAAACGTGCTTTATGAAGAGTGCCTTTCTCTGTATCCTAAGTCCTAGCCCATTTTAAATTATCCGGTGCAATACATTTTCTCTATTCATTTTGCTTGATTTACTAAATTATTTATTTATTTTAAAATCCTTTTTTTGACCCATTAAAGAATTGTCAATTTATAACCTATAAAACGGCCAAACAGGGCATCATCGGTGTATTTGTAATTTACTATTCTAGTGTAGGTTACTATTCTTAGCTAGATGCATATTCTGACCCAATAGTAATGAACAGAATTTCTTGATGGTGGGCCGTTGGCTAATTTGAGGTTCTTATGTCATATATATATATATATATATATATATATATATATATATATATATATATATATATATATATATATATATATATATATATATATATATATATATAGGGTAGAGTTCCAGTGAGAACATGTGCTTAAGTGAGAACGTGAGAATACATCATGTGCATCCATCTAATATTTTTTAATGGTTTAGATTAGATTAAATGTGTGCAAACGCGATTGAGTGTGTTTGCACACATTTAATGCGCGTTCGCACACACTTAATCTAATCTAGACCATTAAAAAATATTAGATGGATGCACATGATGTGTTCTCACGTTCTCACCTAAGCACATGTTCTCATATGATCCTAACTATATATATATATATATATATATATATATATATATATATATATATATATATATATATATATATATATATATATATATATATATATATATATATATATATATATATATATTGAGATAAAATGCTTAATTCATTAAATCAGAAGAAAGAGGATCCACAAGACACAGGGGCGGTATATCAAACCATTCCCCGCAACATGACACAGAAACGGCTCCCCTCGCAATAGTGTGGGCAGCACGATTCGCAGATCGCTTTACACAGGAGAAATTAACACCATGTATACTGGATGCTAATTCCTTTACATCATCAATAACCAAACCAAAAGCAGAAAAATAAGAGTCTGAAATTAAAGCATAATAAACTAACTGGGAATCAGTCTCAACATCTACATCTCCCATTCTTGTTCCCTTCATCCATGTTAGAGCTTCACGGATACAAATGGCCTCAGCTTCTCTCACCGTGTACTTCCCCATTAGGCGGACTGCTTTCGCACCCAAAAAGACCCCCCCATCATCATGCAAAACCCACCCGAGTCCCATTGAATTACTTGCATCATTAAAAGCCGCATCGGTATTCAACTTCAACCTTCCTTGCCGTGGCTTTCTCCAACCTTCCCCATCCGTTTCCATGCCGGCAGTCTCTTTATCCAGCTCATTAGCACTCTGCCAGGGATGCAACAAGAAACAACTCTTTGGACCATATTAACTCGCACAAACGGGATGTTGCTCCGCTTAGACTCATCCAAAATAGTTAGGTAATGAAAGAACCACTCAACCACATTACCTTGGAGTACACTGTTCGCCGGCAAACAAAAACCATCCCAAACCCGCACTGCCTCCCTGCACGATACAAACAAATGGTAGGCAGACTCCTCCTCCTGGGCACACATATGGCATGAAAAGCTACAATGAACCCTTCGTCTGTTTAGCGCATCACACGTGGGCAGAAAAGATGACGCTAACTGCCAGCTAAACAAATTCACCTTCGGGGGAACTTGTAAGCTCCAAATCCTACTCCACGGGCGGTCATCATGAACATCCCCGGCCAACATTCTGTAACATGATTTCACGGTATAATTACCCTTTGAATCTCAGTGCCAAAACCATGAATCTAGGGGCTTTCGCATACTTAAAGGAATATTAAGAATGTACCTTGCATCACGATCATTAAAAATGTCCCGAACACAACCCTCATCCCAACCAGTTTGCTGAATATTAAAAAGAGATGAGACAGGTGACTCCTTAATATTTTCTGGCAAAACGGTAGATATGTATGACTCCTCATCAACTGGTAGCCACGGATCGTAGCCTATAGCTGTACTGCGCCCATCCCCAATGCACCGCCTCATACCCTCCTTCACTACATTTTGCACCTCCAACAAACCTTGCCAAACAAAAGATGCATTACTGCAACAAGTAGCTTCTAAAAAAGAGCACTTGGGAAAATACCTACTTCTATAGACCCGAGCTAACAGCGAATTTGGCCTGGTGAGCAGTCGCCATGCTTGCTTCCCCAACAAAGCCAAATTCATCTCCCTCAACCTTCGGAAACCCAGTCCTCCACTACTCTTCGGAGCACACAGACCATTCCACGCCCGCCATCGCATCCCCTTCCCGTTCCCTATTGCACCCGTCCACCAATACTCATTTAGGGCAGTCTCAATCTCCTTGCATACACCAACTGGCAGTAAGAAAACCATCATAGCATAACATGGGAGAGCTTGTAACACATTCTTTAACAATACCTCACGGCCAGCTCGAGATAAGAACTTGGAATTCCAACTCCTAACACGACTCAGTATCTTATCCTTAAGGAAACCAAACACAGCCTTCTTATTCCGACCCACTAGCGAGGGGGAGCCCCAAATACTTGCCATGTGTTTCCCCTTGACTCACCCCCAGGATATGAACAACTTCATTACGGGTTTGATGTGGCACATTTGCACTAAAACACACCAAAGACTTATCGAAATTGATTTTTTGCCCCGAAGCGGTAGCATACACATCGAGGACCCCCTTCATCTGCTCACTCTCTTCCTTGTTTGCACGCATAAAAAGGAAACAATCGTCCGCGAATAGAATATGAGAAATCGGCGGTGCTCCTCGTGCTACAGTGATTCCATGCATGTCACCTCGTCTCATCTTTTGCTCAATTAGTGCACTTAATCCTTTTGCCACTAATAGAAACAGGTACGGTGAAAGCCGGTCCCCCTGCCGCAGACCCCTACTGGGGCAGATAGGCCCTAACTTGCGTTGCTCGTATAATATATGATAATTCACCGAGCTTACAGTCTCCATCAAGATATTTACCCATTTCAAGTCAAACCCCACTTTAAGCATAACTGCTCTAAGAAACCGCCACTCGACCCGATCATATGCTTTACTCATGTCCACCTTCAACGCAGCAACCCTTACTTTCCCCTGAGTTTTCCGTTTCAGATAATGATGTGCCTCATAAGCAAGCATAACATTATCCGAGATTAACCTACCCGGCACAAACGCACTCTGAGCATCGCATATAATCCCATTCAAGAGCGGCTTCACACGGTTCGCACACACCTTAGCTGCTATTTTATACAACACATTGCAGAGCGCAATGGGGCGTAAATCCTTCATTGTTTCCGGGTTCCCCTTCTTCGGTATCAACACAATCAAACTCTCATTAGCACGAGGAGGTAATTGACCGGTATCAATGAAACTTCTGCCAAACTGCGTCACATCAGCCTCGACTATCTCCCAGAAATACTGATAAAACCCCGGACCAAACCCATCTGGCCCCGGCGACTTATCAGGATGCATTTGAAAGGCCGCGACACGCACCTCTTCAGCACTAACCGGGCGTACTAGTCTTGCATTTTCCTCCGCCTTCACATACTGCCGCATACAGGCAATTACTTCTTCCATTTCCCCGTCCTCCGCAGTAAACACCTCCTTGAAATAATTAACCATTACCCCGCCAATCTCCTCCTCCCCCTCAACCCAATCACCATGCTCATTCCTCAGCTTTCTCACCGTATTCCGCCTCCGACGTGCCTTCACACTATTATGAAAGAACTTTGTATTCTGATCTCCCCCCCCCCCGCCACCAGTGCTCCTTGGCCCTTTGTTTCCAATACAAATGCTGTTGCTCCAACAAGATTAAGAACTCCTTCTCAACAGATTCATATGCCGCACATCCATCACTATCCGTTCTCGCTCGTAGGGCCTCCAGCCTTAACTTACAGGCCTCAATTCGCCTCAAAAAGTTCTTATTATAATTCCGGCCCCATGCCCAAATATCATGGCTACACGCAACAATTCTATCCAAGACATCTAGTCCCATAGTTTTGTCCCAACTCTGCTGTACGATTTCCTTACAAATATCCTCCCGCAGCTACATATTATCAAAACAAAATCTCCGTCGCCTCGACGCTTGTTGAACTACCACATGAGTAACCACAAGAGGAAGATGGTCACTATACGAGACAGTTACAGAATGTGCCACAGCCCCTTCATACATCAATAGCCAAGTAAAAAAAACAAAAATAATAAGAAACATTACATTAGGAAAAATTGGATGGACCAAATCATTTTCTCCAAATGTAATGACATTTTTTTAATTATCACCAATTTTACTATGTAAACTTGATTATTAAAATTTGCACTTCTTAAAAAATTTTTAGGTTTACACATTTAGTATTAACATTTTGCATATTTAATATTAAAAGGTTGCATTTATAACATTACGAAAGTGTATTGAACTTAGGGTTTTGATTTTAGAATTTATTTCTAAGTTTTTTTTTTTTAATTTTATTTGATTTAGTGGTTCACTTTTTATTGCTTCGGGTCTAACATTTACGATTTATATTTAAAATTTAGTTTTTTATTAATTTTTATTTTTATTTTTTAAAAATTTTAGTTGTTACAAATTGCATATTTAAGTGTTGAAGTTTGCAAAGTGAAGTTGACAATAATTATGAAAATGTCACCGTATTTTTTTAAAATTTGATATGATTCGTTTAACTTTTACTGATGCAAGACTGAGATGAGTTCTTAATTTTCTCTGAGGTGTGTTACCATGGGATCATGAGTGTGTGTGTATATATATATATATATATATTATTCATTGCCAAAATTTATGTCATTGTATTAAACTCTTATAGTTCTCGTGATACATGGAATCTAATAAATACATACAGTAATAATGAATACTGGTTTATTGCCCCCAACCTTTTGTTCTATGCATGAACTAATGAAACAAAATAAAAATTGGAATGATGTGGTCTCAAAATTCGTTTGGCGTGCCGGCAATGCTAACGTTCTTTTATTTCTTAATGTTTATTCGTAATAGTTTTATGATCATTTTCTAGAATCTTTATGTTTATGTTATTGAATAAACATGTATTAAAATAAATATAAAAATCAATACATATTTTATTTTAACGTAGTGTTAAAAATCTAAAAATAAATGTGAAATTCAATAGGAATGAATGAATATGGAATTTATTTTCAATTGACATATACTAAGTTACTAACCCACTTTATTATAAAAGTTTTAAGAAAAATCTCAACAAGAAAATGTAATTATACAAAAATGAATATAAAATTAAACTGCACAACACACATTTGTTGTGTAGTTTGTAGTGCTAAACCGATTGTACAAGCACAAATCTCCATCTCCATTCTCCACCCACACATTAAAAAGAGGACAACGCCTTCTCTCCTGTGTTCCCGGCCCATTTTTTCACCACCTCCCAAACACGCCCCGCCGGGAGTCTCTCCACATTCCAACGCCTCTCTCTCTCTCGTTCTCGCTCTGGTATACACACGCACAAGCACAGTGCTGAAACAAGGCAGAACTTCTGAAATAATGGCTTCACCTTCTGCTTCTATCAGGTACTTTTCATATCCAGTGCGACTTTATTTTGCAAGTTAATTTTGATTTATATATATACGTGCTTGATTAAGAGATAACCGCGTCTGTCAATCTTGAATTGCTTTGAGCCTCGTTTCTTCGAATCAGTATGTGAATCTATCATTCTAATTATCTACGGGCCATCTCTTCATTTTTAAGTGTGCATTATATATATATATATATATATATATATATAAACACAAATTCATACTATACACACTCCTTTTGAATCGATCAGGAGTTGGTGATTCAACCGATTGGTTGGAAATTGGAATACTACATCTGATCGGATCAAACGGTAGTGCGTTAATGGCATCGGCTCTGATGTCGAATCCGGTGATGAGCTCCGAAAGTAGAGCAGCGGCTAGGAGAAGGAAGAAGAAGAGAAGCCAAATTCCTAGTGCTCAAGCTGTGGACGTAAACAATAACGGCTCAACCGCTGAATGGAAATCCGAAGCTCAACAACAAGTGTACTCTTCCAAGCTGTTCAAAGCGCTCCGAGAAGTCCGGTTGAATTCGTCGTCAGGAACGAAGGGGGGCAGAGCCGTGCACGAAGTCGCAGATAGAGTTCTGGCGGTAGCCGCCAAAGGACGCACGAGGTGGAGCCGCGCCATCCTCACTAACAGGCTGAGGCTCAAGTTCATGAAGAAGCACAACAGAAGGCAGAGAATGGTGGTTGCGGCGGCTAACGGGAAGAGCCGGGTGCCGAAGAAATCGAGAGTAAGTATCCTCCGGCTGAAAACAAAAAACTTACCGACTGTACAGAGAAAGGCTCGTGTTCTCGGGCGGCTCGTTCCTGGCTGCCGGAAGGAGCCGCTGCCTGTGATTCTAGAAGAAGCCACTGATTATATAGCGGCTTTAGAGATGCAAGTCCGCGCCATGAGCACTTTAGCTCAACTGCTTTCCGGTGGCGGTGGTTCTTCTTCTTCTTCTAGCTCCGCTCCTCTTAATCCGCCTGGCTCCAGCCGGCCTCCTCAGAGTTGATGATGACTTTGACTCTTCATTTTTCTTTATTATTTTTTTAAATATTACAAATTTTCTTCTATTATCGTGCTCTATATCTCTTATGAACATCCCCTGTTAAATATGTCATCTTCTTTCTCTTCATTTTCAATTTGAATAGATATATTTTATTTTATTTTGTCTTGATTTGCATTTAATATGATTGGATGAAAACGAGGAAAATTCATCTGATCTGTGTGGGTTTGGTGCAAAGCTTATAGGTCGCCATCCTCTTTATTCACGTGGGAAGGAGTATTGTGATTTGCGGTTTAATCCTCATTCCCTTGTAGTATCTATTATGTATGCCCTGGAACTTAGCCCGCCGTTAGCCCACATTTGATCAGATGAGGCATACCTGAAAATTAAATTCACGTGCAGAATGTTTAATGTGGTACTTATAATCATGAACTACACTGTCTATTAACGTGTTTGTTGTTTTTGGAATGTTTACCAACATGTATTATACATATTGGGCAGACAAATGAGATGGGTATATATATGTGTTAGTTGATGGTGTTTGGGTAGGGTAGGAGAAAGTGGGAATTGAATGAGCTGAGGCAGCATCAAACATGGGTGGGTTACATTTCTTTAGTTTGGTAATTGAATTATTTGGTTGTGTTGGCAGCATGAGCATGTGGTGTTCAACTATTCTGCTCTATCTCCCATTCCGATGTGAATGTGAACCCTTTTTGCTTTGTAGTTTGTTGTGGCATAGGGGAGTTTAGGGGACAAGCCATCCTGCCAGGAGAGAGTGAGAGACCCCTCCATGTGACTATCCAAGCTTTAGCTTAATTAGAAAGTTGCATTGTGAAGTGATGTCCTTTTTTTTTTTTTTTTTTTTTTTTTTTTTAAATAAATAATCCTCCGGCTCTATTTGTTGTCACATACATACTATACTATGCATACATTTTCCAAATTACATATAGCTCACGTACGTGGTGGTGAGAAGAAGGCTCTTGTGTAAGTATGTTTTCATTATTTTCTTTTATGTGTGTAATAATTCTGTCAATATACTATTTTTTAAATTTAATTTCCCACTTCAATAATATATATAATTTATAGGAGTATCGATTAGGTACGGTATGACACCTAACTAACTTTAAAAATATATTAAATTAGTTTGTAAAAAAAATTGTTGTCTCTAAGTGTTGGTCATTTTTAGAGGAAAATAGAAACTTGATATATGTATATATGTGTGTATTGCGAAATGACAATTGATATATCTTGAAAGCAGCTTGGTGTTTGGGTTATTGTGGACATATCATTTGGATTTGTTAATTCTTGTTTTGTAGCTCCCAATGGTGAGTAAATCTAGCAATTGCAATCTGATCTTATCGTAACAATACAAGCAATTAGTGGGAATGCATTTGACTGGTAGATTTAGACATGATGTAACATATATAATATAATGTAATATAAGATCATAGGTGGATATATAGTATAGTAACGAGACGGCCCAATTAAAATGGCATCACCCTTTAATTTGTATGATATGTCAAACCATTTTCATACAATTAAAAGTGCTGTGATATTGACATCCCATGTAAATATGTATTGCAGATGAGAGATTTTATTTTAGTTTTAATTAGAAGAGATGAGAGTATGGGGGTGGAGAATGATAAGTTGATGAAGGCAGGCAGGCAGGCAGGCCCACCCACATGGTGGCCACTTTTAATTTGGTATTGAGGTGGAACCCACCACCTTCCTGATTTGTGATACATTTCGTAGTGTTTTTGCTAACTTGGTTTAATCACTTTATTGAATAAATAAGAAAAGAAAAAGAAAACGAAAACTGTATCATCATCACTACTTTAATTTGCATGGGACCTAATCTAAGGGGTGAAGTCCGTGGCAGCCCATGTGCCCATGTTTACCATAATCTTCTTTTTGCATTCATCACCAACTTGCATTGTGTGCATGCAGCACCCGCTGCTTCGCCCACTTTAATTTGGTAATACCCCGGTTTGGATTAAAGTGCATGTGATGTTTACAATACACTCAATATTTATATTTATTCATTTTCTAATTCTACTTTATGATAGTATAATAATGTTTTAATAGTCTAATCACTAGTTTAGTGGCACCAAGTTGCACTCCCATATGGGAGATGAGAGGTTGTGGATTAGAGCCTCAGTGGGGGTAGTTTTGATTCTTTGTGCTTTAGTACGTAAGTTGAGAAATGGTATTGACTCTTTGTGCTTTAGTAAGTTAAGAAAGTAATTAGGAAGAGATTCAGCATTGTAACAAAGTCAATAAAAGAAAAGAAAATACATGTGTCATTATTCTAATTCATTCATTGTTCTTCATTTGATGAGAGTTATACTAAGTACTAGGGGTGTTCATTCGGTCGAACGGTTAACCGAACTGTTTTAACCGAACCGAATTAACCGAATTTTTTTTTGCTTTAACCATTAACTGAACCGAAATTTACTCTACCGAATTGACCGAACCGAACTTTTTTTCGGTTAACCGATTAACCGAAATTTTTAACCCTAAAATTTAAAATCCATAAAATAATTCCTAAAATAATAATTCCAATTAAAATAAAATACATATCATAATAAATTCAGATTATTATTTATTCTATTTGACATTTTGACTATTTATGATTTTAGTAATTATATATTTAATATTTAATATATTATATTATATATATATATATATTCCAAAATTCGGTTAACCGTTCGGTTAACCGACAATTTCGAACCGAATTAACCGTTAACCGAATTTTAGAAAAACCTTTAACCATTAACCGAACCGAAATATTTCGGTTCGAAAACGGTTAACCGAATTTCGTCGGTTCGGTCGGTTAACCGAAATTTCTCCGAAATTTGCACACCCCTACTAAGTACATTTATCATTTTCCATGGTTATTTAGGTAGGTTGAGTATTGACATGTATGCCAACGCGCGCCAAAGTGAAATCAAGTAATGCATTAATTAAGTCCTTTTCTTTAAACTTTTGTGTTAAACAAGTCTTATGCTCTCCTCTTAGCTTCTCTCATCTACTTTAATTTGTCCTCACATTTATAATAAGTCTTCAAACTTAATTTTAACAAAATAAAATATTATTGTTAAAAATAATTAAGAAACTATTATATATATAGTGATAGATAGTTACGTTTGTGAGAAAACTAATAATTGATGAATCCTTTGAGCATAAGCAGTATTATTTTGACATGATTAAAAGAGTGGTTGAGTATTAATTAATACTCCGTAAGTAATATATATATATATATATATATATATATATATATATATATATATATATATATATATATATATATAAATTTGTTGGAAGCTAAGCTATCTAGGTAGATGGTGCAGTAGCTAGGAAGAATTGAAATGGAAGTAATGGATGTAGTGGAATGGGATGAGATGTGTTAGTTGTCCCGGCCCGTTGTGTCTATAGCTGCTACACTTAATTTCTCAAAATGCTTGCTATCTATCAAAATGCTCCCGTCGTCTCTTTTTTTTTTTTTTTTTTTTTGGATATATGTATGTATGTATATGAATATATGATTATGATAAAGTGAATATAAATAATCAACAAAAATATAATCACATTGTGAATAACTTAGGTGCAGTGCATGAATAAATATATGTTGATTGAGATGGGGATGATAGAGATCGAAGAAATGATGGAGATGGAGATGGATAGTATAGTATAGTAGGTGAATTTGGTGATGGAGTTGCTGCGGCCATTGCCAATAAATGTGCTACTATACTCCATCGATCTCATCTCTATCTTATCTCATCTGCTGCTAATTAAGCTATACACATACATACATACATTACCATTTACCAATTAACAACGTAACACATATATATATATATATATATATATATATATATATATATATATATATATATAGTTGAATAAAGTATATATGTTGAAAGCACATACAGGCGTGAGTGGTACGTGCTACACTACATATTAAGTTGAAGAAGAAGAAGAAGAAGAAGAAGATGGTCGCCTAGGGATCGGAGACAACATCAAACCTGCTACCATATCCTGCTCTGTTCGGAAGATTGAGTTTAATTTGTCTTTAACAATTAACATTCAGGGTTCCACGGAACTGAGACCTAAAACTAACCGTCTTTATTTGGCCCATTTATGCTTTAAGGCCCATTCTAATAACTATCAACTATCAACAATATATTTACTTCCAACCCCATTTGCTTTCGTAAAAGTAAGTGGACAAATTTTAACGTGAACACTCGTCTATGTAATAGCATGTAAAATGACATTGTATCATTTTTATTTTATTATATACGATCTTTTTATTTTCTACGCTCTAATTTCATTATATTAACACTAAAATATCATTGTAATTACATTTGAAGATTATTGTATACACTATTTTTAATAATTTCATTATAATAACAGTGTAGTATCATTTTAATGACACTTTAGTAAGTTCATTTGACAAAATACAAACATTATTGTATTGTATGGGCTCTGTTTTTAATTTTATTAAAATTATACAATCCTTGGAACCCACCACACACATGAGGAGGTGTGTTAAGCCATTAATGTGCAATCCAACTATCAACTTAGGTTTTTAGTTGAGATGAAACACATGTTTCAATTTGATATCAGATCCAGACCAAAGGTCATAGGTTCAAATTTCAATTAGTTAGTTGAGATGGAGCCCATGTTTCAATTTATACTAGTTGAACGGAAGTAAGAGCCGGTGGCGGAGCAGAGTGAAGTAGGCAAAAAATAAGGCATTGGTGGTGTGGGCGGGCGACAAGAATGCATGTGGCGTTACAGAATCTTAATCGGATATGGGCAATGGGCGGTGACAAGGCACCGACTTATCCAAGCTACCGGCCTGCAACTATATTATATTATATTATACTGTCCCTAGCTACTTCCTTGGGGTAGATACTTTACATACTCATGGATGTCAATAATAATAATGGGAATCCTCAGCTCCTGCGGGCAAACGGCCACATTTCACTCTCTCATCTCTATCTATCATATCATCCTACCTAGCTAGCTAGCTCGATCTTACTGTTTCTGAAAACGACTATAAACCTTAAAAATGAAATCTTGTTAGGAAGGAGTATCGTATCAGAAGGATGGATACAGCGGAAGCATGAATTGAATTGAATTGAATGATCCAGATAAGGAGACAG